CACTGAGTGGTCCCTACCCGGGCCCGACTCCCATGCCTCCCCAGCAGACGACTGTGTTGCCATTGGCGAGCCTGCAAAGAGATCGGACAGACGCAGTCCGTTGGTGTCCTGTACCATGTCAGCTTTCACTGAGTACGGACCTCTGTGTGCTCCCGTTGGCCAGCGAATAGATGCTACGATTGGCACTGTACTGCCAAATCTTAGTGGCGGTTTTGCCCTTGTGGTCGAGCTCGTACTCGACGGCTCTCGCAAAGTCCTCGTCCGACTCGACGTGGTTATCGAACATGAGAATCCCTGGTGGACAAGGACAGGAAGGCATATGAATGGGCTACTGGTCGACCAGAAGGACGTGTGCTCATCCGTACTGTTGGTCTCCCTCTCTTGCGCATCGTGCTGCAGAGTGAAGGGGCGGTGCTCGTTGGTGTACTTGAAGTCGCTGAACCCATGATGGGCGCCGAATCGCCACATGATGTCGCCGGTGCCCCTGTCGACCTTGATCACGCCTATGAACACGAATGCCACGCAGGTATGCAATGCTACTGAGTCCGTGTGTTGGGTGCCGACCCATGTGCCTGAATGAGATGATGATGTTCCCGTCGGCTGCCCACGACGCAGTGTTGGGGTGCTGAACAGCAGCAGATAGGCATGTTGTATGCATGACGAGAGATGAGAGCCTGGCGTCCCTCTCCTCACCGCTAGATCGCCATCCTTGTTGCGCACGGTGTATTTGAGCATCTGCTCGACGGTCAGGTGGTCCCACTAAGCACAAAGAAACCAAGGGGTAAAAATGGGCGCGCACATCTGTGTACGTTAGCTACCATTCGCCATTCGAAAATGACGTTGCCGTGTTTGTCTTGCTCGGTGACAACGGCGCCCTTAATGAAGACCCTGTTACCCTTGGCATCGCGGGCCTCTTGCGGGTCGACGTGGATCATCAACGCATTCTCCTCCTGCCAGACGAGAGAGAGAATTGCGTTTGATATCAATGTACCTTGATCGATCAACAGATGTCGAGGTACCTCGTTGATTTTGAAGTCGTGGCCTGAGCACATTCGAGTCCTTCAGCCATTACCGATCCCTCAGCCATTTTGTCTTTGTGCATGTGAGTGAGCGCATACCGTCCTTTTTGTAGCCATGGGGCGAGGCGTATCTCCGTATGTTGTGGTATTTGTGATCGAATAAGAATGAGCCGAAGGACAGGAGGCCGCCGCTGTCGATCATTCAAGAAGAGAAACGTACACGTGCACAAGTAGTCCGACCCTCAATTCGAGCAGTCATCACCTAGTCAGCACAAAATTGCCTCGTGCGCCGTATCGCTCTGGCGTCTCGAGATAGAAGACCAAGTCGCCATCGTTGTCCAAGACAAGCAGCCTGCACAAACACACAATGAAAGGCATTCTTCCCCGATTGCTGCGGTGATGTCACTGTGGATGAATCAGACTATATATACCATGGGTGCTTGACTTCGTCGACGGGCACCTTCTTTGGCGTCCGCCGGTTTGTGAAGAAGACGTAGCCCCGCTCCGCTCCAGGCTTTGCCTCAACTGACATACGAACTTTTGGGAAGTGCTTCGTCGGAACGGTGACATAGCCCCTGCGATTTCAGAGAAGACACATCGCATACGCCAGGATGCAATATCACGCGTCTGCCCTTTGTGCCCCTCAACACGCTTACATGCTCATGTATTTCGCAACAGGAAGGGTGTCCATGAAATCAAACCTTGATGGACAAACAAACGCCAGCCAGTCAGACACTCGCCACCATTTCTCAGTCGGACGAGCCTACCCATTGACGAAGTGGCCGCCCCGGAGGAATGTCCCGTTCAGGTTGAGATGTGTCACATTGTTCTGCATCCATCGAAAGCAAGACAGGACCAGTCAAGGGCCTTCTGCTTCCCTTTTGCTACCTTAAGGTAAGGGGTGTCACCCGAAAACGGCGGGGGGTCCAACGTGAAGACGCCATTCTTCTCCCTGATTGTAGCCTTATTCTCTGCCTCGGTCACCTCTGCCTCTATGAGGGAGGGCTTTCGCTTCGTCGTCTCGTTCGTTTGGTTCATGTGCGAGAGATAAAACCTCCATTGCATCCCGCCGAGCTTCTGACCATCGGCTGTCGTGAGACCCTCTCGCACTTTGACTCGCACCATCTCACCCCTTGCGAAGTCCTGGAAGCTTCGGAAGACGACGGTCTTCCCATCTGCACGCGAAGACGCACACGACAAGGGGCAGATGACCACTTGACGAGCGTTGCCTTTCTTACCCGCGGCGAGCACCAGCTTGCCCTTGACCTTCCCTGACTTGTTGCCGCGGACCCTCAGCTTGCCTCGGATGGACCCCGGCTGGAGGCTGCTTCCCTCGCGAAGGGCTATAGTGGTGAGGGGCGACACCAGCCCGGCCTCAGGCCGAGGATGAATGTACCTGCCATAAGCAGACAGTGCAAATGCGCGAGGGCAAGCACGAAGAGGAGATCTTTACTCAAAGGCCCCGAAGCGCTTGTGTGTCTTGGCGCCGTCAGTGAGCTTCAGCCCATGAAGCACATCAGCATGGCTCAGGCCAAAGAGAGAGCACAGGGCGAGAACGCACCAGATCATCTTCAGTCAGCTCGTTGCCAAACCGTCCAGGGCCTTGTCTACGTGCGGCCGCTTTGGTGTGCGCACTCTCACCTCTCTTCTTGCAGCCGTCCTCTCGTCCCTTGTCGATGGCATTTTCAGCAAATGGGACGAAAATAATAATTCTGGAGAATTCCGTTGGAGAGAACCCACCCGAGCCTGAAAGTCCCTGCTGCTGGCTGATTCTATGCCTCGCTTCCTTGAGCGGCAACCGCCTCGACTGCACTTTGTAGCTTCACACGTGTCTTTCTCTGTCCTTCTGTCCATTTTGTGTCTGTACTTATTTTTCGACCGCTCTACTGCTCTTTCAGACAACCACGTCGCCAAGAAGAACTCCAGGCAAGTGCTGGCGGCCCTCAGTGGTTTCGGCATGGCGCAAGAGGTGACGAGCCTCAGAAAATATGGCAAAGGCGCGAAGAAGAGCAGTGCTGATGTCAGCCTGCTCGATATGCTCGAGAGCAAGACGCCATATACCTACGCGCACCCATTGCCCGGCGCAGCGCTCATCTCGCCATTCACAACTGTGGCGTAAGGCAGAGAGTCAGTCGACCACCCTTGTTGATTTGCCGGCGGTTCTCTCTTTGGCTTCAGGTTCAGGACAGATGAGCCAATCGACGGCAGCACCGCCTTTGGGAAAATAAGCCTCAAGGGCGCCAAGTCAGGCGACCACTCCAAAGGAGAGACGGTGCTGCTCTCTGGGCGCACAGTTCACTTTCGGCCGGCCCACCCGTTGGCACCTGGGGAGCAGGTGCATGTCAACGTTGCCGAGGGCATCAAGACAGGCAGCGGCAAGTCACTGCCGGCAGTCGAATGGTCGTTCCACGTGTCTTGGAGGAAGCTGGATACCTATCACCGTGTGTTCCTGCCGCTGTCCGTCAATGGGAGCCACTCGAGCACGCACTCGTCACGGGCGAACCTGCATTTGCTTAAGAAGATCCGTAGCGACCATTTCCTACTGGGGCTCGGGGCGAAGAAGCACGCGAGGGAGCGACAGAGCACCCGCATGGTAAGACCACTGTGAGCATGGGACGAAGCTTGTCATGTTTCTCTCCTCCACTGTGTTTGCCGTCGCTTTTGACCGTCCAGTCGATTGGAGATGAGGGTGGGCAGGAGATCGAAGAGACTATCGTGCCGAACCCCGCCTATCGCACACTGCCCCCCAAGTATCCTCGAGCGGTCATGAGGAAGCTGGGTGACCTCTCGAAGCTATCGCCAGGGTACCTCTTCACAGCCGAAATCGATCAGGACCCAGACGAGAAAACGGTGCGTCTCGCTCGTGTAGCATCAGGGATGGATATGCATACACACATACGTGATGGGAGTGTGTGGGTGAGCAGATGAAGGTGATCATGACTGATCGCGGAGACCCCGTCTTCTACGAGCTCGGCACTCTTCCAACATTCGCGCCGACACACGTACGGGGGACATCTGCACTGGCCTATTGGACCTGTATATTGGGGTCCATGACTGCGTGTCACATGTTCGCAGAACAAGCAGCTGGTCATCCGCCAAAGCGACAACGCTGTAAGGACACTCGAGTCACGTTTACACTCGAGTCACGTTTGTCTAAAGTTCGCGCCATCCGTCAATTTGTGTATTCAATGCAGATTGTGGTTGCGGGGAACGACTACAGAAAGAAAGCCAGGTTCCAAGCGCAGCACGGCCACATCATCAATCACCACGGTACGAGCCCGACCTGATGAGCATACATCCTCCATCTACCAACCATACTTCTCTTCGAATGGCTTCGCTTGCGCCCACGACGAACCCGATAGAATTCCAGATGCTGAGCAATGGCAACAGTCTCATCCTCATGTAAGTGTTCTATGCACCTATCTATGTGCGTGGGGCCACGGAAAGGAGAAAGGGGCTCACACGACTGACGCGCATACGTACACCCTGTGTTGGTGCAGCTACGACCCCCAACTGGTGGATGCAAAGAAGATCCGCCCAGGTACGCAATGAGGATGTACACACGAGCGGCATGTCATGTCAGTCCACCAAGACATCTGTCTGTCCCATGCAGGGGTGTCGGGCGCGACGAGGGATACCTGGGCAGTCGGACTGATCATCCAGGTACGTGAACTCACCAAACAATCACCCCTGTAGCCTTGACTTATGTGTGTTATCACCCAGGAAGTGACGCCTAAAGGTACTGACGGGTGTGCGCCTACACGTATACCCGGAGACGTCCGTGTACGCGATTCTCATTAGGCCACGTCGTGTTTGACTGGCGCTCGTGGGACTTCCTTCCTCGCGTGTGGTGGGAGACCAACATGGTGGTCGAAAACCGAGTTTGGGACCTGACACATGGTATGTATTCCACACTGCGTGAGTGCTGGGGAGCACACAAACAAAGCTGGTGTGCACCTAGGCAACTCACTCGAGGAAGCGCCGGATGGCAACATCATCGTGTCCATGAGAGCACTCTGGCAAGTGACCAAGATCAATCGGTGACGATATATACCCGTCGATTTGTGCACACACGTATACGCCCTGCGCACGTCTCTCCCGCAGAAACAGTGGACGAATCATGTGGAGGCTGGGAGGCGTCTCTGGCAATCTCAAGGTGGCGAAAGGTACGCATGAGCGAGCTGGCTCCCTTCAGTGGCAGGATTTCCCGCCTATATTCCTGCAGATCCCAACGGCCTCTTCAGTGGGCAACACGACGCGCGCCTGCACGATGGCCTGCTCACCGTTTTTGACAACAGCGTCAAGACGGGCAGCCGCACTGCACGAGCCGTCGACTACAAGTTGGACGGCAGCAAGGCGACCATGGTGTCCCTCTATGACACGGGCATCGCTGCCTTCGCCAAAGGCAACTATCGCCGAATGCCCAACGGTGTGCTCCGTCACTCACAGACGTACCTATGTTTCCTGTTTGCTGTATGTTTGCGTGTGGGCACCTGATTAGGCAACCGTGTGATCTGCCTGGGCCTCAAGCTGCCGCCGGGCGTCAAGGGCGAGAGGAGGAATCCTTGGTACCTGGAGGTGCGTATCCGAGCTCAAAACAACGCATACGCGTGTGCGTTTGCATTGGTGGATCAATGGATGAATGTCTGTGCAGACCGACGACAAAGGCAGGCCGTTGGTCCAGATGCAGTGGCGAAGGGAGACGCACTCGTATCGTGTCGTCAAAGGGCCGTGGCAGGGCTTCCCCAGGTGGCAGCCAAAGGCCATAATCGACAACAAGTGAGAACGCACACGAGCCCTCACCGGCTCTCCACGACCCATTCGATGCCTGTTTGTGCGTTGCTGACGTTTCTACAGCAATTCCGCTGGACAAATGCGGTTGCACTTCTCGTGGAACGGCGCGACTGAGGTGGACAGGTAGGTAGCATTGCCTACATATGACTGTGCACGCGGCGCGGATGTGTGCCCTTGTGACGCAATCGATCGATGCACTCCATGCATGCAGGTGGCGTGTGTACCGAGGAGAGGAGAAGATAGCTGACCTCAAGAGGACACAATTCGAGCACTGGGTCGACATTCCTGAAGCAAGAAACAGCTGCCAGAAGTACCAGGTCGGTCCACTCATCAGACATTCACACACAAGTGTTCGGGGAACACACGAATGAGTAAATTGCCGAATGAATGCGGGTGCGTCAAGGCCGTCGCTGTTGGTCGAGACGGCAGGGAACTGAACCGCTCGAAAGTGGCCAAGTCAAAGCCATGCAGGTAGAGCGACGGGAACGACGGAATATGTACATAGCAGACACCCTGTGTATGTGTATGTGTATGTGCAGTGACGAAAAGACAAAGGTGAAGAAGGGCGGCGGTGTCAAGCGAATAAAGTCGTCCTCACCCGCTTGTGACGTCATCTGGCGCAAGAGGGAGAACTGTGCCGCCGACCGGCTAACAATATCTCAGAACGAATGTGAAGGTGCGCTAGGACGTCAACCAATATGTTTTGTGTGTATTCTGTGTCTTTCGTCAGCCCGAGGGTGTTGTTACAAGGGAGGTAAAGGTCAGACTGTGGAGGGCTTAGTGCGGTGCTTCAAGTCCAGTAATATCTAGGACAAAGACTGCATGAGCGCGTAGCACACATCCAGCCCCCTTTTGGCTGGCAAGCACATATCCCGATCTTTTCCCACATCAAACGAGAGACGCTCATTGTCTATATCGTGGCAGAGTCTTCACAGCGACTCGCGAATCTTTTGGCAAGAGCCATACAAACACTGTTGCGCGCCGTCCGATCCCGCCATCATCTGCGCGTCAATGACTTGGTGGTTCAGCGAGCTGCAACCCGAGAGGCAGCAGAGTCTTTGTGGCTTCCCCGTGTGATTCAAAAGGTGACTTCGCGACACAAACCAGACACAAGCCACCAGAAAGTCTTCGGAGTCCATACGCACAAGAAAGTCAACCAGTCATGTCTCGAGCCGCATCTCGGTCGCATCGGGTTTCCTCCAATGAGCATCTTAACTGAGAGAAACGGCACTGAGGCATTTTCCTCGTCACAGAGGGATCCCTTCTCCCCTTTCAAAGACCCCAAAAAATCATGTTCGAAATCCTATCCCCAGCCATTTCTCGCCAACGGTCAAGGTTTCTCTTGCACCCGAGCTGTTCAGTTCAAAAAACTATGCCATGCTGCCGTCTACCATCCAGACGAGGATTTCATACGCGTTACACGAGCCCCAAAATTGGTCAGAAACGATGTCGTGTCTCTGACCCCAGCCAGTGGCCCCTGCGTGTGTCTCTGACACACAGTCGCAGACATAAGGCACGTCACCACACTCGTGATATCTTTCTGTCCCGAGCAATGCAGACCTCCAAAATCACATTGACAACACGACGCGCGTGCATGCGATCATGCCATCGTGAACTCACCGTAAAACCGCGCACCCTATCTCCTCAAATTATCCTGGCGCCGCAAAAGGAAGGGGAAGGTACACACGCTCTGAGCTCCTGCGTGACGAGGATTCAACAATCAACCAATCAACAGGTGTGCGTGAGAAAAGAGGGGAAGATGTCATAGGTCGTGGTATGTTTGGATGTGGATGTTATGGTGTGTCGCAGGCGTGTGTGTGTCCCCTTTGTTCAATGGTGTACGACATCAGTGGCCCTGGGCCGAGAGAGCGTGAAATCTGGTTGAACGACCTGTCGGAGGAGGGGATTGAGGTGATTTGCTCCGAAGACTTCGGCATTGAGTACCTCTCAGTGTCGGCAGGCTGCCAGGAGAAGGTCAGTGGTCGGGAGGGTAAGGTTTGGGGCGCCAACAACTACCTCGTGGTCCCTATGGCATGCCGTGACTACATCTCCAACTCGCCCAAGTCGTACAACGTGTTGTTTGTCGTCGCGACGGTGACATCGGAGACCTACCTCAGCGCCAAGAACATGGGCGTTCTCCGACAAGACGCCGATCACTCCATCGTACCCGATGGCGTTCGCGGGACACCATCGATGTATGTGGACATCGAAGGTGTGGCGGTGCACTGCTACCAATCACACGGCCACTTCGCTGATGCCAACGTGCTCGGGATGGGGGCCCTGCGGGACCTCGGGTGGTCGCCGATGATCAACTGGGCAGACAACACATTCATGCTGACCTCTCTCACGGATCTGCCGCAACTGTGTGCCCATGGGACGATGCTTAAACCAAGGTCAAGGCACGGGGGGTGATGCAGCACCGCCATCGCCACCATCGCAGCCCCCAGACACCCAGCTCTGCCCGCGATGGGGGGAGAGGGCGGGTGCGCATTTGTCTGCTGCATTGGTGCGGGCTGCTGGCCTGTGTTTGAGGGGCGGGAGGCTGTCATGGCGTAGTATTGGGGCGATGGACGGCGCTGGAGTGTTGTCATCGGATGAGTGAGCGTGGCCTTTGTGCAGAGGCATATGTAGAAAAATTCATGCGGACGATGTGTGGACAAGTGAGTGCATGGATGCGATCTGTCAATTATCTCTCTCGTTCAAACCTTGTTTGCGGGCAGCCGACGGGAAGGGTGGGTGTTTGTAGCCGGCTGCCGCTCATACACTCATCCTCAGTCACCCGCGTTTAAGGATCTCGACAGAAAGGGTGCTTATCTGGATTTGGTGATACGGTGTCACGTGTGACAGTGGAGATTCGGCATCGTATACATGACAATTTCCAGAAGTGACAGCTTCGACGCCACACAGCTGCATTCGACAGACTCAGCAGGGAAAGCGATGCACGACTGCGTCTTGCATCTGTTCCAGAGAGTTTGTCCATGGGTCACAGAGAAAATCTGTCTAAGCGTCCATATTTCCACGGCTCACAGAATCTACAATCAACGAAAAAGAGGGCATCGACCGGCTGGCACATGACTGGCAAGCAACGGGAAGCCATCTATCTCAGGCGACCGTCAACGTTGACCGTCGCCGCCCTTCCCTCACTCATACTTCCGTTCCGTCAAGAAGCTGAATGGGCATGTCTCCGCCAGGGAAAATCCCACGAACACCCTCAGAGACGACTGAGAAGGATAGTACAGCGGCGTGCCCTTGATGTAATCCGTTTTGTCTTGTCTTGTCGAGCCGCCTGCTTTGCGGCAGCTGTAGGTGTTGCAAAGGATGTCGGTGCGTCGCCTTGCAGCCACACGGTGTGGATCTCCAGACCATCGAGAAGACCCTCGTTCCCGAGGGCCTCGAGAGCCCGCTCGATTGTCGGCTTCCTGTCTTCTGGCCCCTGGTCGGCTTCCTTGTTCTGGTAGCCCCAGATCTGGCGCAGCTCGCCGTCCTTGGTCACAAAGACGAAGGAGTCCCAGCCCTGGAATTGGGGGTTTCCAGGGTCAAGCAAGTAGGACACGTAGCCTTCGTTCATCTCCTTCCGCACTCCGTAACGATTGAAGCACTCAATGAGCTGCGGCAGGTCCTTCGCGTCTTGAACAGGCACTCGCACGATCCCTCCGAATGGGCAGCCACGGGTACTGATCACCGGAGGCGGCAGAAGGTCTGCTGGCGTGCCGGTCAGCAACGATGTGGGCGACTGGGATCCATCCATTGCCATGGTGTGGCTGTCCAGCAGTCGTAGAAGTACGGCAGCCTTGGTCACCCCCTCCCACCGCTTCCCAGAGCCTCGCGGCAGCAGCACCTGTCGCAGATATTTGTCCACCATGCCGATGCAGTTGATGAAAGGGCCGCCGAACTTGGTCACCAGCTGCTCGTTCTCCGAAAGGGACATTGCTTCGCCCACAAATGTACAAGCCTTTCCCAAGTAGCAGGGAGGCCACACGCAACCCTCGCCGTAGACGTCCAGACTCGCCGTCATCGCGCCGAGCGACTCAAAAGTAGGCAGCGCTTGGATCTCCCTTGAGTGCCGTGCGGATGACAGCCGGGGCTGTGGACGTGTCAACGGATTTGCTGCTAGTGAAGTGCTCCAGCACATCGCCCTCATTCGATGAGGTCTCGCTCCGCCGGTAAAGCTCGAACAGCAGGGCAGGTGCCCGGCCAGTCCAACATATCTCTCCTTCGCTTGCAGAGGGGCTGATGGCCAGCGCCTCGGTCGGCTCCTCGATACGGGGGATCTCGAGCCTGTACACGTCACGTGCGCTTCTCCGGTCGACCCAATAATCCCTGATGCTCTTGCCCACTGTGGCGACGTGACTACTGAAGACGAAGTAACGATCTTCCGCTCCGAGGCAGCTAAGGATGAACTCAGCTACCGCCCTCGCCTCCGATCCTTCAACAGTCAGTGCCGGCAAGGCCTCCTTCGTGAGAAGCTGGTTTAACTTGTCAACAAGGAGAATCAGGGGCCCGGTGAGCCATCTCTCCAGGAGAAGCGGATCAAGAGAGACGTGATCTATCCAGTCTTCGAACGAGATGTCATCCGGATCCTTGCCGATCTGCTTCGCCAGACTCGCGACTGTCTCCTCTCTTGCACACGCCCACGTAATCCGCAGCACTATCGAGTCCAGCAGAGTCAACTCGCTGCGCTTGTGGAGCTGGGCCTCATGCTCGTTGAAGCGAGTTTGGCCGCTGAAGGTTATGAAAAGCACCGGCTTGCCGCGTCGTTGCAGCTCGCTCCCGAGCTCCTTGAGGGCACGCGACTTGCCGCCTCTCGCGAACCGCGTCAGCACCACAGGGCCCACCCGAAAGTCCGTCGTGTCATAGCTGGCGAACCGTGGCAAAATGTAGTCGTCCACGACGTGTAGCAGTCTGGTGAGGCCGACGTACTGCTCAGGATCTGGACGCTCGAGTCCGCGAGCCCGCGGGGGCTCTGGCGTGAGCGCGGGGACGTGTCGGGACTCACGCTGAGCGTTGGGGTCTGTGAGCTTTGTCAATTGAGATGAGGTGGCTGTCCGTGATCAAGAAGTTGCGAGAGCGGCGGACTCCTCCAGGTCCGGTGTCTGAGGGCCAGCAGAAACAGGAGAAATGTGCGAGAGCCAGATCCTCATCCCGCCCTGTTTTACAGTCCCCACCTGCTTCACTCATGCGAAGGATGGAGGGGGAGCTGACAGATTGGCCCTTCTTGGTTTTCAGTGGTGTACGTCTGGAGAGGGCCATACGGTGCAGGAACGCATTATGGCCAGGTAATGAAGCAGAGGCCACAGACAGAGTAAGGAGCAAGATCCACAGCATCACGGCCATCAGACGATTAAGCGAAGTGGCGGAACAACGAGTCAAGGGCGACCCTGAGCAATACCTGAGCAACAGAACAGCAAACAAAATAGGCGCCAGAGGTGAACAAGGATGTGTGAATGACCTCTCTCTTAATCGCTTGACATCTCAGCCACGGGCAACACTGTGTTGGCACAAATGTGCGCACAACACTGGTGGTGCCCTCTGGGGTACCCTGTGAAAGCTTTCTAGTGAGGTGGAACCCTTGTCAACGCGTGTTTGTCCTGCCGTGCTCCTTCTTTCTTCTCTAAACAGCCTTCGGCCCGGAGATCTGGATGGCGATGGCGGTTGCAACGCGGCGGTTGCAACGGAGGCGCCCAAAACGGCGGGAGGACGACAAGAGAAGCGCCACGACGGGCAACGGAGAGCCGGGACTCTTTGAGTGCTTCTCTACGGCGCCATGTTGCGGCCCGCATGTGTGGTGCTTCTGGTCCTCGCGGGGCTGGTTGTGGGTGGTGCAGACGTCCGCTCCCTTCAAGTGAAGCCCGCGCCGAGCCATCCCCACAAGGGCCAACATCCACCTCACCCAAAGAGCGGGCCGACTAACAGCAAGGGAAAAGGCAAGGAACAAGGAGGGAAGGGCAAAGGCAATGGCAGCGGCAAGGGGAAGTGGCAGACGAAGGACCTCACATGCCAGGTAAGACGACCCTCACAGACAAGCGGCGTGTCGGTCGGGAAGTGGCTGATTGTGCGCGGTGTTTGCAGAGTGACGTTCTTCTAAGCGCGTCAGAACAGTCGTCCGAAAGCAGGGCCATCTCTGACATTGTCACCCGTAAGTCTGGCGTGCCGCTGCTCGTCACGACACATGAGGTGAACCAGTGCCCTCTCTGTGCCTGTCTGTGCATGTGTGTATGTCAGCGTCGGACAGTCAGCAAGTGCCCATCGGTGTCGAGGTTCAATCAGGCTTCGCCGAGCTTGGTGTCAACGACATTCGGATCGTCGGTGTGAATGAAGGTTTTCTCTTCACGGAGCTTCGGCTTGACTGTGGATCGAACCCTACTCCACTCGGTGAAGTGATCGACGCTTCAGTCACTTTCCGGTTTGGCGTTCCTCTCGGCGATGGCTCCTATGATGCGACTGAGGATGCGATCTGCAACGTGCAAGTGCAATGTGGATCAATAGGTGAGGTGATGCAAGGCTTGCTTTGGCGGCACCCGTCCTGGTTATCTGTCCCTCTGCCTTCACCAGAGCCGCCAACTGAAGCGCCTGCGCCAACAGAGGCACCGACACCCACGTGCAGGGTTAGAGCAAGAGGCGTTCCATCCCATGATATCGCGCTCCATGTGCTTGTTCAACCGCTAATTTGGACTCGTTTTGAACAGGATGTGTCGTTGTCGACGAGGCAAGGAAACAAATTTTCTCGCGACATCGCACAATTTGTCGGATGTAAGAGCTATACAGCCTCCATTTTCCCCCCATGTGCCCATGCCTATATTTGCGCTTCGAACAGCGACGCCTGACAGGGTGGTGACTAGAGTCGATATCCCGGCAAAATTCGAATCTTTTGGTAGCAACGATATCAAGATAACGGCGCTGCAGGAGGACTCGCCGTCAAGACGATTCACGGCTGTGGAATTGGAGTGCGGCGACGATGCCAGTCCCCTGGACCGTAGTGAGACAATCGCGGTACCCGTACATGCCTCAAGACACAGAAGAAGTAAAATTGAAACGTGGCTGGGGCTATGTTGCACAGATCACGTTCGAATTTGCGAGGCCCACCGGCGATGGTGGTTACGTCGATCCAGTCAGCGCCACGTGCGATGTGCGAATCGACTGCATGTCGAGAGGTAGGTATGGAGGAAGCACGATAGAGGCCACTTGGCTTCTGACAGTGATAGTGTGGCTTGGGTGTTGTCACATTTTCAGACGAGCCGCCTCCAGCGCAGCCTCCCCCACCACCCCCTCCTCGTAAGCTGTCGAGAGCACAGAAGGCACCCAAAAGCTGATATGAATCTGTTTCGCTTCTCCTTCCTTCCGTGCGCCTGATTCCCTTCGTGCAGCTCCGCGGCCGCCTCCTCCACGTAGGATGGGCTAACACATGAGACACCAATACGAAACGAAGGAATGCTCTCCTCTCCCAGCGCCACCTCCTCCTGCTCCTCCTCGCCCGCATCCACCTCCCCCACCACGTGAGCAACCGAGTGATCAGCCAGCAAGCAAGACTGAGCTCATTTTGTGGTGCGTCTGTCGGTGCCATGTGTGTTCCTTACAGCCCCTCCCCCACCCCCACCACCACCTCCTCCCCCGCCGCCTTCTCCTCAGCCGTCAGTCACATGTCGGGTGAGCGGTGGAGTGCCAATGGTGCACCGGCTTGGGTGCTGATAGTGTGCATGTTATATTTCGTGCAGGATGGGCATATCTCTGCGCCACAGTCATCATTCAACTTCAAAGACATCGCTGAGTTCGCCAGTAGGCTAAGCCGGCAGCATTCGTAGATATGAACGTGAATTTCTGCATTTTGTGCACACTTGTCAGCGTCGTCGGATCGTTTGGTGATTGGTATAAACGTGCAGGCTCCGTTTGATGAGCTACGCACCAACGACATACGGTAAGCCGGGGCCCACTGACCCACAAATCGCCAGGTGTAACATGTGATGTTGTCACCTGGCGATTCAGATTGTCTGGGAAGAAGAATGACCCTGACAAGCCGTTCAGGTTCACAGCACTTAAGCTGCAATGTGGCAAGTTCCCCAACCCACTAGACAGAGAAGTCGATGTGCCGGTAAGTGGAGCTAAGACATTTGTGCATTACGCCGTGTGCGTATCCTGTTTTATCGCGTGGCAGGTAAAGTTTAGCTTTGGCCGGAAGCCCAACGGTGGCGAATACGTGGACACTGTGTCGGCCGAGTGCAACGTGCGGGTAACCTGCACTTCGGAACGTAAGGAGGGAAAGAAAGGTCCCGAGAGGGATGACTGTGATGACTTTCTTGACATCTGATTGACCCTCTTTCGCTCGCTCCAGCCGATTACAGCCCCCCTGCCGTCATCTGCAACAAAGCGCAGGCAAGAATCACAACCCACTTGGACTCCAAGAAGCTCAAACAGATCACGTAAGGACAAATGCGCAGGCACACGAGGATTGCAGGAAGACGTCTGTCTGCCATGTGTGTTGTCGTCCATTAGGCGATTTGCGTTCGTCAAGGGCTATGGATTCTGGCGAGCGAGTGAGGTTGTCGTGCCATTCCCGTTTGACAAGACGAGGGGCAGCATCTACCACTTTGGTCGAAATATCAAATTGAAGCCAAAGCTCGACATCCAGGCACTCAAGCTCAAGTGCGGCAGATTCGCGACTCCAAGCAACAAGGTATGGACACGTATCCGTCTACTGATGTCAATGAGTCTTTCTTCGTATGTGCTGTGAGCAGACTGTCCGCCTGCCCGTCTTCTTCAAATTCCGCGACGACATAAGCGGCAACGAAGTCTTCCGAACATGCCCCGTATCTCTGAAGTGTACATTCTAGCACACTACTGACTTGTTGTTCTTTTTTGCCCACGGCGACACGCACAAGCTTTTGACGGATGAGGTGCGGTGGGGTTGAGTGACCGTTGGCTTCCTGTGTCCCTTTTGTGAGAGGCAGAGTGGTGGGCTGGGGTATGGATTGCACACAGAGGAGCCCTTTTGTCCAGTGAGATCGTGAGCTATTTGGTGCGTGTGATGCGCGAATTTTCCGGAGAGATGGGGAGGGGAGGTGCACACTTCTGGCCGCGCATGCGCCACTGCCAATTTTCGCTCACATTGTCCTGACGGCTGCTGTCCCTGGACCGCGTATTGGTGTCCGTTTTGTACTTGTATGCTTATCTCTGTACTCCCTAACCACGGTATCCTCCGTGTGCTTGGCTGGTGGGCTGAGGGGGTCGCGCTCATCACATCATTTGCCGCCATGCTTGTCTATCGCACATCATTCACACGATAGAAGGCCCACTTGTTTTCTTCACTTTGAGTGATTTTTCTGAACTGTGCTTGCGCCAAAAGACGACAGACGCTCCTTTTTATCGTGGCAGAGCCTTCACAGCGAATCATGAAACAGTGTTGCGCGCCTAAGTTCCGCCATCATCTGCGGCGTCAATGACTTCAAGTTGGTGGTGGTTCAGCAACTTTTTGGCTCCCCCGTGTGATTCAAGAGGTGACTTCGCGACACAAACCAGACACAAGCCACCAGAAAATCTTCCATATGCCAAGAAAGCCCACCCAGTCATGTCTCAAGCCGCATCTCAGCCGCCCCGGGTTTCCTCCAATGAGCATCTTAACTGAGAGGAACGGCACTGAAGCATTTTACTTGTCACAGAGGGATCCCTCTGCCCCTTTCAAAGACCCCCAAAAATCATTTTCGGAAATCCTCTCTCCGGCCGTTTCTCGCCAACGGTCAAGGTTTCTCTTGCATCCGAGCTGTTCAGTTCAAATAAACCATGCCATGCTGTCGTCTATCATCCAAAGGTGGATTTCATGCCCCTTACACGAGCCCCAAAATTGGTCAGAAAATGAGGTGGTGTCTCTGACCCCAGCCAGTGGCCCCTGCTTGTGTCTCTGACACACAGTCGCAGACATAAGGCACGTCACCAGACTCGTGATATCTTTCTCTCCTGAGCCAATCAGATCTCCAAAATCACACAATAGCCTGCTGCCACGAAAAGATGCCCATGCATGCGCTCATGCCATCGTGAACTCACCGTAAAACCGCGCACCCTAATCACCTGATGACACGTGCTTCTTGATGGGATAGATCTCACAGAGCGAGATCTCTCTCTTGTGTGTGCCCTGCCCTGCTCATTCTTTCTTTGCTAAACAGCCTTCGGCACTGGGATCTGGATGGCGGCGGCGGTTGCAACGCGGCGGTTGCAACGGAGGCGCCCAAAACGGCGGGAAGACGACAAGAAGCGCCAGACGGGCACAAGAGAGCCGGGACTCTTTGAGTGCTTCTCTACGGCGCCATGTTGCGGCCCGCATGTGTGGTGCTTCTGGTCCTCGCGGGGCTGGTTGTGGGTGGTGCAGACGTCCGCTCCCTTCAAGTGAAGCCCGCGCCGAGCCATCCCCACAAGGGCCAACATCCACCTCACCCAAAGAGCGGGCCGACTAACAGCAAGGGAAAAGGCAAGGAACAAGGAGGGAAGGGCAAAGGCAATGGCAGCGGCAAGGGGAAGTGGCAGACGAAGGACCTCACGTGCCAGGTAAGACGATCCTCACAGACAAGAGGCGTGTCGGTCGGGAAGTGGCTGACTGTGTGCGATGTTTGCAGAGTGACGTTCTTCTAAGCGCATCAGAACAGTCGTCCGAAAGCAGGGCCATCTCTGACATCGTCACATGTAAGTCTGGCGTGCCACTGCTCGTCACGACACATGGGGTGAACCAGTGCCCTCTCTGTGCCTGTCTGTGCATTTGTGAATATGTCAGCGTCGGACAGGCAGCAAGTGCCCATCGGTGTCGAGGTTCAATCAGGCTTCGCCGAGCTGGGTGTCAACGACATTCGGCTCGTTGCCCTGAATGAGGACCCGGCATCCCCAACACGCTTCACGGCGCTTCGGCTTGACTGCGGCGCCAACCCTTTCCCACTTGGCGAACCCACCGATGTGTCAGTGGACTTTGAGTTCTGCTCTCCCCTCTGCAATGAGCCGGGCTATGACGCTGAGACTGTCACGTGCAGCCTACAAGTTCAGTGTGGCTCGTCAACTACTCCAAGTAGGGAATGCCCGACGGTCTGCATCTTCGTATTGCAGCGCTTTGTCCCTTCCAGTGGTGTCGACCTTACCGCCTTCAGAGCCGATCGTGACTCCCCCTCCACCACCACCGGCTCCTGTCCAGCCCCCTACCTGTCGGGTACCTATGCCGTGCACCGCACTTATCATTCCGCACGAATGTGAGTTGTTTCTCTCTCTCTCGTTCCGTTTTCTCTTTTTTTTGCAGAACTTCTTCCTCTCTACGACCCAGGGATCATCGGCCAGCAAGGGCCTCGCCTCCTTTGGTAAGGGAGAGACAGCGATGTTCCTTTTACAGACCCGATTGGAGTATGGATGGCTGTTGTGACTCAGTGACGTCTGAGGGATTGGCCATTGGAGTCAATGTGCCACAACCATTCAAGCAACTCGGCCCCAATGGCATCCGGCTGGTTGGTTTGCGAAATGACGCTGAAATGGATCAGAAGTTTACCGACGTCCAGCTGACCTGCGGCCCGTCTCCGCGCCAGCTGGGCCAGACTCTGACTGTCCCAGGTAAGCAGCAGGGCACGAGAATCCACCTGAGAGTACTTCATCATGTGCTCTGGCTGACAGTGACCTTTGATTTCGGAAAGAGAGCAAACGGGGGCTATGAGGAGACTGTCAGCGCGACCTGCGGCGTCAGAATCAGATGCAATGCGAGAGGGCCGCCTCCGCCACCACCCCCACCACCGCCGCCACCTGTCCCCCCACCGCCCCCACCCCCTCCCCCTCCCCCACCCCCTACTTGTCGGGTAATATACCCACCGCACTTATCCTCTGCACTGATGTGGGTTGTTTCTCTCTTTCTTTCTCACTCTCTTTCTGCGTTGCAGAATTTCTTCCTTTCCACGACGCAGGGCTCCACCGTCAAAAAGGGGATTGACTCGTTCGCTACATGTAATTAGTTTTTCTGTTTCACGGTTTCCATATAGGATGTGCCTTCCTGTTGATTTACTTCAGCAACGTCTGACCGAGTTGTCATCGGCGTCAATGTACCATTCCCTTGGACATTCATGGGTCCCAACGACATTCGCCTGCTGGGTTTGCGAAACGACCCCGCCATGGAGAACCGATTCACCGCCATCCAGCTGAAGTGCGGGGCCTCTCCGCGCCCTCTCGGGCAGACTCGAACCGTCCCAGGTCGGTTGACAGCAAGAGAATGGACAGGAGCAGACACATGCTTTTATTGACTGATTTCGAACGCAGTCGAATTCGAGTTTGGCAAGAAGGCTAATGGTGGGTATACAGATACCGTCCGTGGCACATGCGATGTCCGAATCAGATGCAACCAGAAGAGTGAGAAGACAAGCAACTGAAGCGTCTATCCATGTGATGTGATATTTCTTGTCCTTATCAGGCCCTCCGCCTCCCCCTCCCCCTCGCCCACCTCCCCCACCACGTGAGCCACCGAGTCATTAGCCTACAAGAGTGAGCTCATTTCATGGTGCGTCTGTCGGCGCCTTGTGTGTTTCATGCAGCCCCTCCCCCACCCCCTCCGCCGCCGCCAGGCCCACAGCCCAAGATAGTGTGCAGGAGGAGGAGAATCTTCACCACAAGAGGGACAAAGACGCTCAAAGCCGTCACGTAAGGGCACCATGCAGGATGACGTCGGCGCAGGCAAATGACTCCCCTCTTCCATACGTTCTTGACAGGACCTTCGCCGCCGTCCGTAATGCTGGTGTTGGTTGGCGTGCGGTTGGTGCCAGGGTGCCGGTGGCATTCAGGACGCTGGCCGGCGGCCGGAACCAGTTCGCCAGGGACATCAAGCTCCAGTTCAAGAAGAACAGGCAGCAAATCAAGCTCAAGTGCGGCAGATTTCCCAAGCCACTGGGCAAGGTGAGATGAAAACGGCTGATGTTTGGAGCAGTGCACCCGCATTCAGCTGCTGGTTGTTTTCATTCTGCAGCAACTCACGGTCCCGGTCTTCTTCCGGTTCAGACGGGGGAATCATGAGCTCTGCAAGACCTGCGACGTTTTCGTCACTTGTCAATAGATGTTTGCACTGCTTTCTATGAGCACCAACGAACGGCTGCTGCAAAAGGAAGATCCGTACACGTGGTTGCGTGAGGGAATTGTGTATCCCTTTTGCTCTCCCTGTCTTTTGTGAGAGGCAGAGTGGTGGGCTGGGGTATGGATTGCACACAGAGAAGCCCTTTTGTCCAGTGAGATCGTGAGCTATTTGGTGCGTGTGATGCGCGAATTTTCCGGAGAGATGGGGAGGGGAGGTGCACACCTCTGGCCGCGCATGCGCCACTGCCAATTTTCGCTCACGTTGTCCTGACGGCTGCTGTCCCTAGACCGCGTATTTGTGTCTGTTTGTACTTCTGTGCTCCACATCCAGTCGGTATCTGTGTACTACTTCGTAAGCGCCGTGTCCTTCATGTGTTTGGCTGGTTGGCTGAGGGGATCGCTTGCATGCTCATCACATCATTTGCCGTCATGCTTGTCTATCGCACACCATTCAAACGATAGAAGACCCATTTGTTTTTCTTTCGTTTGGGTGGTTTTTCTGAACTGTGCTTGCGCTTAAAGACGAAAAATGGTCATTGTCATGACGGAGCCTTCACAGCGACTCACGAATCTTTTGGCAAGAGCCATGCAAAGAGTGTTGCGCGCCCTCCGATCCCTCCATCATCTGCGCGTCAATGACTTGGTGGTTCAGCGAGCTGCAGCCCGAGAGGCAGTAGAGTCTTTGTGGGCTTCCCTGTGTGGCAGTCATTTCGCGACAAAACAAAACTTAAGCCACGACAAAGTCTTCGGAGTCCATACGCACAAGAAAGTTCACCCAGTCAAAGTCTCGAGCCGCATCTCGGCCCCGGTCGGGTTTCCTCCAATGAGCATCTTAACTAAGAGAAACGGCACTGAGGCATTTTCCTCGTCACAGAGGGATCCCTCCTGCCCTTTCAAAGACCCCAAAAAATCATTTTCGAAATCCTATCTCCAGCCGTTTCTTCGCCAACGGTCAAGGTTTCTCTTGCACCCGAGCTGTTCAGTCCAAACCAGGGCACGCTATCGCCTACCATCCAGAGGAGGATTTCATACGCGTTACACGAGCCCCAAAATTGGTCAGAAAATGAGGTCGTGTCTCTGACCCCAGCCAGTGGCCTCTGCAGCTTGTGTCTCTGACACACATCTCAGACATCAGGCACGTCACCAGACTCGTGATATCCTTCTCTCCCGAGCCATTCAGACCTCCTCCCGCGCCAGACGCCCATGCATGCTCCCAGGGAACTCTCCGTAGAACCGCGCACCCTAACCCCCGCAGCAATTTGATCTGGACTGGGACGAAAACCGTTTTCATCATTCTTGTGCGAAAAAGGCCGGTGAGGACCTTTCCTGTAGTTAGCTGAATAGAGGATCTGCTGGGCGGTAAGTCCCAGAGTAAGAGTGCTTTTACTTTAATAAGACCGATGGACTGGCCAGTCAGTC